CCTGTACGGTGGCTCCTGGGAGTCTCTCAATCCTGTTAGTCCAGAGCCCTTTCACTTATCCGGCCCCTCCCCCTGTTCCTCCTCCCAGCCAGCCAGCCAGGTCCTGTTCACCAGAGGCGGTTCCCCAAGGATCTGATTACACTTGCAGCCCCACCGCGTGTCCTATATCCCGAACGATGAACACCCTCTCTGTCATTCAATTAAGCCCCAGTGCTGTGGTGGGGTGATCTGGGAACCAACAGTTAAATTTTTCAGGACCCCTTTGGTGGGCACGCCCCCAGAAACTGGCGGCTAAGATCTTGGGTGTCGCCGCTGGTGTTAAGGGGAGGTGGGGATCTGGAGTCCCCTCTGCTTCCCTACAGACACGCCCCCGGTGGTTTCCTGGCTGCTTGTATCTGGAGGGGGTGGGAGTCACACACCTGCTAATGTGGATTCCGCTGGGAAGGAATTCTGTCGGCGGAACTCTGGTGATGTCACCACTCTGCTATGGCAGGCCCCAGGCTCCTTGCCAGAGTGTCCGAAGGGAGGGGTGGGACTGGTCTGTCTCTGGTTGGTTTCAGCTCCCGGTTTGCTATTTCATGAAGGCTTGGCGAGAGGCCTCTTCCTAGAGTCCCTACACCACTCCTGCTGCGCTGCGCCTCGGAGGCTATCCGCCCTGACGCAGGGGCGGCGTGCAGGCAGCCGACAGTCGCCGAGTCGCGCGGGCAGCGGCTGGCGGGTCTGGACCTCTGCGCTGCGTGGCGGAGATTCACTCGTCTAGCGCAGACTGTCACCTCCAAAAATCCTTCCAATTCCCGGCCGGTCTCTCTTTAGTGGAATTTTGCTAGGAGTTTCTCAGCAGGTCATATCTAAGCGTATCCATGCGTCTCTCTGACCCCTTTGTTGAGGAGGTACTGAAAGCGCTGCCTCCCCTCTCGCCGCCATGTTGGATCTCCTGCTGTGTTCTTTTTGCCAAATTAGGAAGTAGAACGATACTGATAACTCTTCTCTGACCTTTCCATTTCTCCATGGAGCCTAATCCATTGAGTTTTTATATTTTGGTCATTATATTTCTCAGTTCCAAAGTTTTCATTTGTTCTCAGTGTATTTGTTGAGACATTTATTATTTTCATTTGTTCCAAGCACATTCATAATGTTCCTTGAAGCACTTAAACTGTTACTCTGAAATATTTGTCAGATAGTTCTAACATTGTGTCATCCTGATGTTAGTGTCTGTCGATTTTCTTATTCAAATTGATATCTTCGTGGTTCGTGATATGATAGTTGATTCTTTATTCAAACATGGACATTTAGGTTATTACGTTGTAGAGCTCTGGACCTTATTTAAATCTTCTGTTTAGTACGCTTCCTATAATACCACTTTCCTGGAGCAGAGGTGTTGCTTCATTAGTGCTGGAGAGGGTAAAAGTGCAGGTTCCTACTTTAGCTTTTTTGACTCCTGAGAGATGGAACTCCTCTTTTCTGTTAACTTGGGTGACAGTTCAGGCTCCTTAGCAGAATGAAAGTCAAGGGAGAAAATATTTGCAGATCACATATCCAATAATTACTTTATACTAGTATCCATAAAGAATTCTTAAAATCAGTAGTAGAAAAACAGGCAATCTAGTTATAATATGTACAAAAGACAGATATTTCAACAAAGAGGAGAAACAAATGGCCAATAAGTACATTAAAAGATATTCATTGCCATTTAGGAAAATCAAAGTAAAACCACAGGGAGCTATTACTACACACCTACTACAATAGTTTCAGAAAAGGAAAAATAGTGATAATGTCAAATGTTGATGAGGATGAAGAGGAACTGAGTCATTTATGCTTTGCCAGTTATTATAAAATGGTACACTCTGGAAAGAGTATGGCAGTTCTAAAAAGTTCTACATAGATTTAGTAGTTGAACTCCAGTACATTTATCCCAGAGAAATGAAAATTTATGTCCATCCATATGAGAATGTTCAAACATCTTTAACCACAATACTCCCAAAATTGAAACCACCAAAATTCCTTTACGGGTGAATGGTTGAACAAATTCTGATACATCCATGGATTAATGCTTAGCAATAAAAAAGGATGGTCCTTTGATATGTATAGCAACCTCGATGAACCTCCAGAACATTATTGTAAGTGTAACAAAAGCCAATCTCAAAAGGTTATGTATTGTCTGATTCCCAAACCATAGAGATCAAGAACAAATTAGTGATTGCTAGGGTACAGGGACTGGAGTGGAACAGGTGGGGTGGGAGTGAATACAAAGATGAATCAAAATCTGTTTTCCTGTGGTGGTGAAATAGTTCTATATCTTGATTGTAGTGGTAGTTACATGAGTCTAAACATGAGATAACATTGCATAGAGCCAAATAGACAAATATACATACACATGAGAACATGTTAAAAATGTTGAAAAGTAGATAAGTTCTATAGTTTTCTTAACAGTAATACACCAATGTTAACTTCCTGATTTTGATATTGAATGACAGCTATATAAGACATCATTAGGAGATGCAAGGTTATGAATACATGGATCTCTTTGTTCCATTTCTTCAAGTTCCTGTGAATCTATAATTACTTCAAAATAAGAGGTTTTAAAAGAGATTCTCTTTTGAGATGGTTTAAGTCTGGTTCTGCTGAAGGTGGAATATTAGGGAAAATCAGTATTTGTCACATCGTACCCTCAGCATATCAGAAGGCCAAAGAAATCTACACATGGCTGGTAATGAAAATATTTACAAATAATATAATGCCTTCTATTTTATTAGTGCATTTCTTTCCTTTTTAAAATTATTTTAATGGGAAAACCAACAGTATTCAATGATAATTAGAGGTAGTGCCATGTTCTTCGCACTCTGCTAATAACTTCAATTTTTCTGCCAATAACTCACAGGATAGATGATGTTCACATATTCTGCATTCTTCAAAGGATGTTCCCAAACTTGACCAAACCCCAAAACATTTTCAAGAAAGTAAAATAGCATCACCTTATTGGTGATACATAACTTTCAGTCCTCACTCATTGTAGCTGTGGTGAAGGTACAATAAGCTATGAGTTAGAAAAATTGCATAGTTTACATCTGTAGCCAATTTAAATGGGACACTTAAAAGTGTCCATTTTACGGTGGAAAAGAAACTAAATATATAGTTCCTGCCTTGTAAGCTGCTAATATAGGTATGCCATACAAGAAATAGATTCTGACTTCAAGTATCAGACCTGAATTTTAATCTTAGCTCTGCTGCTCAACCAGACAAATCATTAAACCTTGTGGAACCCGAGTTTCCTCAACTATAATGATAATACCCATTTCATAGAATTGTTATTTGTTTCAGTCCTCACTTTTATGAATGGCACTTAGTATCATAGCTGACTCAAAGCTGTTGTTCACTAAATGTTTTGTCACAGGTTTGTATATGGATTAAGAAGACAGTATATATGGACATATGCAAAGTAAATGAGAAATATAAAAGTGATAAATATCAAGGCATAAACTGTTAAAAAAAAAGAGAAGGATTGGGAAATGCAAAAGGTCAAATTGACTGCAGATATCAGAGAAGTCATTATGAAAGAACTAGAAATCAAATTGGGCTTTGAAGAGTGAAGATGTAGAGAGGAGGAGACCATTTCAAGAGAAACAAGAGCCTGAGCTTAGATGGCTATAAGAAAATCAGAATTGAGAAATTTATTTTGGGGGACGTCCCATGTATTCTATATTAGATTATATTTTGGAAGTTAAAAACCTTGAAGTTTTAAGCAATTTCTCTCATGTTACATTCTGAAAAGCTTTCCAACAGCTGTGTGTATTTCAACATTATTGTTGAATGTTAGAACACCTGCTTGGTTGCAAAGAACTCTTGTATACTTTCAAATGTTGCTTGGTAAGATTTACATAACTTCTATCAGTTGTAGCTAAACTTAGACTTGGTGCCTATAAATCACTGTATTTAACAAAGATGGGGATAGCACAATACTGGAACAAGAGCTGGAATATCCATGTTTTTATTAAGCCTTATAGAATTGTTTTCACTTGTTACTAAAGAAAGTTTTGGCAGGCTAACAAATTTTGTGTTCCTAAATGGTGGTTGATGTTTTAGACACTATAATTCTGCAGAAAGTGTAGAACATGAATGATTAAATATTTGCTCTGAATAAATGAAAGCATTGAAACTTTTAAGTTTTTAGGTTTTATTTTGGTGTATTTTCATGGAGATGTACTTTGGTTAATGAAAACTTAGTTTGGCATTCAGTGGGTTTTGCTTTTATGGTATTAAAGCAAAGGATCTTTGGGGGGAAAATAAATCTACACATATTTTTAAAAATAATGAATCAGCCACAGATACTTGTACTTTATCAGCTTTTGAGGTCCTTTTTGCTATATAATTTCAGTTTTTACCATTTTCATGGTGAAAAAAATTCATCTTTAAAATGTGAATTGAATATCAACTATATACAAAGCATTATACTCAGCATGGGTAAGACCAAAAAGTAATGAGATACAGACCCTCAAATTTACAGTAGGAGCGGCTGGGGTTGTAGCTCAGTGGTAGAGCACTTGCCTCACACATGTTTGATCCTCAGTACCACATAAAATAGATAAATAAATGATAGATTGATAAAAATAAAGATATTTAAAAATTTTATAGGAGGAAAGCAAAATGTGTACCCAAACAAATAAATATATAGCAGTTTGGCACTAAGTTCTATGAGCTCTGTAGAATTTCAGATGGCAGAAAGCACATTTTTGAGTGACCGATCAAGGATCATTCCATGGAAGCAGGAGCATTAGACAAATTCACATAGCTTGTAAATGAACATTAACATGGTACTGTGATATAAAAATCTTGAAATGATAGCTCTCCCAATGCCAAAGATTTTATCTTTACAAATTGGGGAAATCATTCCAATACCAGCAAATGGTTAATTTCTGAACATTTCCATAAGTATTAATTAAGTTTGTACTTTTACAAATAATTATTTTATGTATGGTGGATAATGGATGTTTTTATGTTTTTAGGCCATGAATATTGTGGTTCCCTTCATGTTTAAATATGCTGTAGACAGCCTCAACCAGATGTCGGGAAACATGCTGAACCTGAGTGATGCACCAAATACAGTTGCAACCATGGCAACAGCAGTTCTGATTGGTTGTATGTGTGATTCTTTAATCTGTCTACAGGTGTTGACTTTCTTCAAGAAGGGTTCATCATATTTGAGCAGATGACCTTTTCACCACAAACACAACTTAGTATTTTGGATGTTTATTATTTTATGTGAGATTTTCTATATATGATTTTTAGAATTTCTTTGTATGGTATACTTTGCAAAAGTCTATGATAATAGTGGCATTCTCTACATTCTAGAAAATAATAATATTAAATAGGACATTAAATTTATAACAACCATTTTTAATAGGCTTTTTATAAATACCTTTTCAATAAGGCCAGTTATTTTCTTGCTATTGTTAGCTATTAAAGAAAAAATAGGTAAATAATGATAGATATGTAAATAAATTTAGTAGTTATGACACAAATGTGAAATTTTTAAAAACAGTATGAATCCCATGTGGTTCCATGCATTAGAAAGGAGATTTTATGAAATATGAGTAGGAGCATGCTTTTAGTTAAAACTTGAATTTTCAGGATCTTATTTTTATTATTTGCTATTTCAGAGAATTGAACTAGATCAAAAACCTTAACAGATATTGTACATGTATCCATAATAAGGCCATATGGTCTATTATTTATTGAGAGTATTTTAATGGGAAAAATCAGCCTCTGAAATCTGGGGAAAAATAAAACCAGGAGAGATTCATCGTGCCAGAAAAGTCAGTTCTAGTTAGGATAAAGGATTTCTAGGTTTCTTTTAGTATAAATATTCTGTGATATATTTGTTGATTGAGTATTCATTGTACAAACATTTTTTCAATCCCTTGATTCTAATGTTTTTACACCTCATTTTTTCTTTATAATGTATTACTAGATGGTGTATCAAGAGCTGGAGCTGCCTTTTTTAATGAAGTTCGAAATGCAGTATTTGGAAAAGTAGCCCAAAATTCAATTCGAAGAATAGCCAAAAATGTCTTTCTCCATCTTCACAACCTGGATCTGGGTTTCCACCTGAGCAGACAAACAGGAGCTTTATCTAAGGCTATTGACAGAGGGACAAGGGGTATCAGTTTTGTCCTGAGTGCTTTGGTATTTAATCTTCTCCCCATCATGTTTGAAATGACACTTGTCAGTAGTGTTTTGGTAAGTAAAGCAGTCTTTATAGCAAGTTTTTATCTTATTAGTATTCTCATTGGCAGCTACTGAATATTTGAAGCTGCTGTGCTATTGCTTGCCCATGGTTTTGAAAATTAAATTCAGAAAGAAAGATTATGCAGTTTGTTTAATTATTTTGCCACAAGCTTTCAAGGGCTGTCCAAGCTCTTTACATGTTGTTATTGTTTAGAACTGTTTAATCCTACACATAGACCATTAATTAGCTAGTGTTTGTGAAGTGTTTTTTAACAGAGATTTTTATATATGGCATCAGATTGATATGCTCAGAGTATCTAGGTTGCTATTCACCATTCATAAAATTTATGACAATTTCATCTTTTATACTTAAAATATGTATACATGTACAGTTTTTGTTCCTCTTCAAGCTTATTGTACTATTTTAGTATTAGCATTTGATGACAGTATAAATGTGGCAAGTGAAATTTGGCTTTCTTTCCTTGTTACCCAAAGTAGATTGTCTAAGGTTTTTCACCAGTTATTGTCATATATACTTCCTACCTTAATATTTTTAATTAATATCTTGTGACTGAGATTTGCTGTTGGATCATATACACTGTTTGACAAGAACAATGATTGTTTCTCATTTCTTCTCTTGAACTTTTTCCAGTATTACAAATGTGGTGCCCAGTTTGCATTGGTAACTCTAGGAACACTTGGTGCATACACAGCATTCACAGTTGCAGTCACACGGTGGAGGTATGGTATTCCTCAGGGCCCAGTCAAAGTCCAGAATTTAGCGATGCTTTTATAACATACATTTCATGCCTGTGCAAATCTTTGTCTTACAGAACTAGATTTAGAATAGAAATGAACAAAGCGGATAATGATGCAGGTAATGCTGCTATAGACTCACTGCTGAATTATGAAACTGTGAAGGTAATGTGTTTAATTGTACTTTCCTCTGCCTTTCATACTGCACCAAGATTTGTTCTGCCATTTAATTTAATAGGTGCTATAAGTGAGAGCTTTGTGTTAGGATAAGGATAGGATCTCTAGGTTATGGAATAATACTAAGTTTTTCTTCTGTTTTAGACATTGCCCTTTATTTTTACCTGTTTTTATTTAGCAGCATCAGAATTTTACTTTCTGAATTAATTATAATGATCATAAATATATTGTTAACATCTTGATTCAGAATGAACATTGAGATAATTAGCTGGCATGTAAGTGCTTAACCCTTTTTGTATCTCTTAGGGTACCTAGCATAGTGATTTTCATTAATTCTTTCATTTATTTGTTCATTTTTCCATTTAACAAATAGTTACTGAATTCCCCTTATATGTAAAGCATTATGCTAAGTGCTGTATAGGAGAGGGTAGTAAAAAATGATTATCGCGTAATCCCTTCCCTCCCAGAATTTTATGATATACCAAAAGTAGAAGAGTTAAAGTAAGCATGCAGATGACGAACAGAAAGACATAATTTGTAGCAAAGGGAACTGCCAATTCTGAGTCTCAGAGGATCTGGGGCAGGTTTCCTGAAGGAAGTGTCATTGATCTAAATAAATTTAGATCTGGGTTCACATTAGGTATGCATTCAGTAAATGTTTACTGGATGAATTTTATGAACTTTTATAATATAACCTATCATAGAAAACTGCAGGAGTACCATAGTCCAGTGTATCGAAAGTAAGTTTGTAAAATGAAGTCTGTAGTACAAGATTGTATCCAGATATGAAGTCAGGTGGAACCTATACTAATCACTTAAAAAAAGAATACATACCTGTTATACTTGTCCATAGTTACTGTTTCTATGTATTTTGCAGTATTTTAATAATGAAAAATATGAAGCACAGAGATATGATGGATTTTTGAAGACATATGAGACTGCTTCATTGAAAAGTACCTCTACTCTGGCTATGCTGAACTTTGGCCAAAGTGCTATTTTCAGTGTTGGCTTAACAGCTATAATGGTGCTTGCCAGTCAGGGAATTGTGGCAGGTAATGCATCTGTGGTTATCACATTTTATAGACTATATAAAACTTAACTTTTGTAACTAAGATTAATGAAAAGAATGTGTATATTAGTCTTAGTTATAAAGGGTGTTCAATAAAGTACTTTAGCACTTTTGTAATGGTTTCCTTTTTGTATCAGAATGTGTGTTCTCGAGTGATCATCTCTTCTTTTTGTTTAGCACTGGCTCTCTCATTGATTGGGATTACTGTTTCTACATTTTATGGGTCTACAACCTGAATCTTTGAGGAGCAAGGTTATTTTAGTGTTCAGTATTTCTGGTTTCACTTATAGGCCTGGAAATCAAAGTCATTAGTTCAGTGTTTAGTCCAAAGGATTAAAAGGGAAAAACATCTTGCTTTTAGAATTACCATAACCTTATAATCTTTTATTAATATTTTCATTTCTATAACTTCAAAAGTAATATGTCTGTACCTCTTTTGTGTAACCCCCCTCAATTAGAATTCATTCATGGTGAAATTAATATGAGATTTAATATTCTCAGTCATGATATATCCATTAGTTTCAATTTTTGAATGTATACTACAAAGAAACAATCACTTATGTTTTAGAGAAGAAAGTTTTTTTAACCTTCCATTTCTATCATTAATTAAACCATTTTTTGTGTGTCTTATAGTGTGTAGATGGACTTTCCCATTGCACTTAATATATACCAAGTTCCCGGTATTATCTGAATCATGGATTTGAATGCTTTGAAATTGAAACAGCCTAAGAGTTGTTGATTATACATATTTTACACTGGATTTCATATTAATAGCTATAAAATTCTCTTTAAACTGGGAAAGTTTATGACTCTCATCTAAAATATCTTTTTTTTTCCTTCTGCCGTTTGCATATTAAGGTACCCTTACTGTTGGAGATCTAGTAATGGTGAATGGACTGCTTTTTCAGCTTTCATTACCCCTTAACTTTCTGGGAACTGTATATAGAGAGACTAGACAAGCACTCATAGATATGAACACCTTGTTTACTCTACTCAAGGTAGACACCCGAATTAAAGTAAGTAATCTATTTAGTACCTTTTCAAAAATATATGAGCATCATCTCATTATTATTGGATTATTCTAGGGGAATACTCTTATCATGTTAGCAAACTAATTTCTCTCTTGCAAGAATTGGGGCTGTCAAGTGTACTAAGAGATTGTTATAGATTTCATTTCTATGTTTAAAAACAATGTTAGGAAAAAATTTTATACCTAGAAACTAAAACTTATTAAATTATTCATACTTATACTGGATTTATATTTGCTAATAATGCTGCAGAATATATGATTGCCTCTCCTCACATCCTTCAGCCCTTTACTTCCCTGCTAACCCTCCCCCACCCCCTGCAAAAGTTGTCCAGCAGCCAAACCATTCATGAATTTTTTTTTAACCTTAGCAGTGAGGAGTAAAAAACACAAATCTTTAAAAGCATGCTTGGAAGTGCTCTAATTCCACTTTCATAAACCTTCTCCTTCCCCATTATTTTCCTTTTATCTCTCTGTTAAAAAAAAAATATCGGTATAGCTGTACTCTAAGGTAGTATGTAAAGTGTTTTTTTTTTTTCCTCTTCCCTGTTAGGACAAAGCGATGGCATCTCCCCTTCAGATCACCCCACAGACAGCTACGGTGGCCTTTGATAATGTGCATTTTGAATATATTGAAGGACAGAAAGTCCTTAGTGGAGTATCTTTTGAAGTCCCTGCAGGAAAGAAAGTGGCCATTGTAGGAGGTAGTGGGTCAGGGTGGGTAATTTAGTTATTTATAAAATTCTTCATTACTGATTGAAAATTCTGAATGTGATTTTATTCTTATCCTAATGAATTGATTACTGTGGTTTAAAATTAGGGTTTCCTGATGCCAATGGAAGCTAAATGACCTCTCCTTGTCTCCAATTTCAGGAAAAGCACAATAGTGAGGCTGTTGTTTCGCTTCTATGAACCTCAAAAAGGTAGCATTTATCTTGCTGGTCAAAATATACAAGATGTAAGCCTGGAAAGCCTTCGGAGGGCAGTGGGAGTAGTACCACAGGTACTTAAAAACAGAAAAATACAATTTTTGGAAGATTTATTGGGTTGATGGTTATGTAAACTATAATAATTTGAATCTGAGGAGTCAGCATATGCTAATTAAGTGGGGAGTGTTAGGCCCTACAGTTCAACTTCTTTTTTAAAAAATTTTATTAGTGCATTAAAGTTACACAAATATTGGGGTTCATTTTGACATCATTATACAAGCATGAAATATAATTTGCTCCAGTTTAGTCCCCAGTACCTCCCTTTCCTCCTTCCTTCCCTGTTTCTTTTCTTGTATTTATTTATAGTGTTTAAAAATTAGTTAATTATAAATCTACATAAAGCCAAAATTCACCATGGTATATTCAAATGTACATAGGACAGTTTAGTCAGTTTTATTCTACCATCCTCACTTTTCCAATCCCTCCTCTCTTCCCCTCAAACTCGTTCCTCTACTCCACTGATCCCTCTTCTATTTTCATGAAATTTCCTCCATTTTTCCCCTTATTTTGGTCTGGGTTCTGCACTTGAGAGAAAACATTCAAACCTTGATTTTTTGAGTCAGGTTTATTTCACTTAGCATGATAATCTCCAGTTGCAACTACTTACCAGGAATTGCCACAGTTCTTTCTTCTTTATGGCTGAGTAGAACTCCATTTTGTGTGTGTGTGTGTGTGTGTGTGTACCACATTTTCTTTATCCATTCATCTGTTCATCAGTATCTGGGCTGGTCTCATAACTTGGCTATTGTCAGTTGTGCTGCTATAAAGATGGGTTTAGTTGTATCTTATAGTATGCTGATATTAGGTCTTTGGGATAAATATTGAGGAATGAGATAGGTGGGTCATGTGGTGATTCCATTCTTAGTTGGAATCACCATTCTTAGTTGTGAGGAATCTTCCTACTGCTTTCCAAAGTAGTTGTACTAACCCTCCAACAATGTATGAATGCACCTTTTCCCCCTACATTCTCCACAGTATTTATTTGTGTTCTTGATAATTACCATTCTGACTAGATAAGTTGAAATCTTAGTGTAGTTTGTATTTGCATTTTCCTGATTGCTAGGGTTATTGAACATTATTCATATATTTGTTGGCTATTTGTGTTTCTTCTTTGAAGAGATGTCTGTTGAAATATATTGCCCATTTATTGATTGGATTTTTTTGATGTTGAGCTTTTTGAGATTTTAATTTATTCTGGATAGTAATCCCCCAAGAAGCAGGTGACAAAGATCTTCTGTCATTCTGTAGGATCTTTCTACAGGTGAACGTCTGTTACCAAAAAGAACATTTAACAAAAGCATAGGAAAAAAAAACTTGAATGGGATATCTGCATGATGGGAAAATTACTAAGCCCTAGAATGATGGCATAATAGAATGGCACAGAATAAAGTCAAGCTGACCTAGATTCTAATGCCACCTTTAAACCTCATTAGTTTTATAACCCTGGATCTCAGTTTCCTCATCTCTAAAGTAAGGATACCTTTTATCTTACAGGATAGGATTATTGTTACATATTAGAGATAGTATGTTTAAAGTACCAAGCACAATATCTATCACAAGATTGTTCAGCAAATGAAAACTATTATTATAATTTTGAACAGCTTTTAATATAATGAATTTATAATTACAGAGCAGTTCAACTGCCAGTTTGCATCATGTCTTGAACACTACTGCCCTTAGTACCAAGCACATTGCCTGACCCATAGTAAGCATTTAATAAATATTTGCTGAGTGACTTTGTGAGAAAATAAATTCAAAATAATACCTGAAAAGACAAAAAAATAGATAAATTTAAAAGGATGTGAGATTTTTCTGATGTTGAAAGCACATAGAGAGACTTGGGGATTAGTTGCAGCTAGCAATTATCATAAAGTTGATTCCTGAAACTGGAATAAAATCCCTGAGAGAACAGATCAAAATATGGAAAAGAGGGAGGGGAGAAACTGTAAGAAAGTGATTAGAGTAGGATATGTATCTTGTAAAAAGTCCCCAAGTAATCTAACACAGGACAGTCTTTTCTGTCCTCTCTTTTAATGAGAATTCCAGATTTTAAGTGAGTATAAGTCACTTAGGGAGATGATTGAAATTTCACTTCTTCACACACCCTAGTTGTGATTCTAGAGGGCAATATGGGGCCCAGAAACCTGCATTTTTTAATATGTATCCTATGTGATTCTGATAAATGGTATGTAGACCTGCTGAGAAACACTGTTTGTCAAGTGATCTGGATTCTGGACTAACTATATAGGGCTCAATATTCTCATTCATATAACTAAATTCCTGCCATTCTCTTGGGCTATTTAATGTTTACCCTCATTCTTTTGAGGAATAAAATACTTCATTCACAAAAGAAAAAATATACTGTCAATAAACAAAAGAAAAGTTACTTATTCTAATAAGAGGCTTTATACATGTAAATTAAATGAATAATGTTTTTTTTACCTATTAGATTAACAAGGATTTTGAAATTCATAACATTCAGTTTGTATAAACTGCAGAAAGATAAGTAGTGGTATAACGGGAACAGTAGGAGGGAGGAGAGAAGAGAAGGGGGAAGTACTGGGGCCTGAATTAGAGAAAATTATATAGATAATAAAATGGTTACTGTAGTGAAGTAACATCTCACATAGTTACTCATTTATTGTATGTGGCAAGAGCAGGTGAAATCTCATTTAGCAAGTCATGAAAAAAAGTCCAATAGTTAATTAATATTTTTTTACCTTTATTTTCTGTTTTCAGATTTTTAGTATTTGTTAACTTTTTCAGAATATAGTACTTTGTATATATACAATTTTGGACTTTTTGGATACCATCCCAATATGAGAACTTTTTTATTGTCAAATAATATTGTTATTATTTGAAATAATATCTGAAATTCTGAGTGTGATTTTGATGTCAAAGAAGATTTTAATTGTATATCCTGGTTCATGTGAACTAATGGCATCATTTTATTTCACCTTACTAACTATAGCCTTTCACCTATTTGAAGACTGAAAGAAAAATGTGAGATGAATGTTCACTTTAAGTAAATTAGTGTTACTTAATATATTACACATATGTGTAAAAAATTCTTTTTTTTCTGCATTTCAAGTCCAGTGTCAAAGCTTCCTAGAAATATAGAAAAACATATTCAACCTCATTAGTAATTAAGGAAGTGCTCATTTAAACAGCATTCTACCTCTAGAAATAGCAGCAACTTAAAATTAATATGCAAGATTGCTAAAGATATGGGGATTTGACAACCTCATACTCTATTGATTAAAGTATACTCAGATGCACAGTCATATATATAATGATGCTTTATTCCAACATTATAGCCACAGTTATTTATTAATCACATTGATGTCAATCAATAGGAAAATAGATAAATTATGGTATGTCCATAGTCTAAAATATACAATTAGTAAAAAGAATGAAGTAGGCTTCTTTTATTAACTTGTAAAATCTCCAGGATATGTTAAGTGGAAAACCCATTTGAAAAATAATAAGTACAGGATGGCCCCACTTGTTTTGGGGGGAAAACCATATATATTTAGGCTTACAAATGCATTTTTTAAAAATCTGAAATTATATGTAACAAACTGCTCATGGTGATAGTTCTGAAAAGGGAAATGGAATTTTAGAGTTGGGGTGATAAAAGGGGCTATCATATTTTATTCTTTATGCCTTTATATCTATATAATTGTTCAAATTCTTTTGGAATGAATATAAATATATGTGTGTCTGTATGTAAATCTGCTTCAGGATGCTGTCCTCTTCCATAATACTATTTACTACAACCTTTTATATGGAAACATCAATGCTTCACCTGAGGAAGTATATGCAGTGGCAAAATTAGCTGGACTTCATGATGCAATTCTTCGAATGCCACATGGATATGACACCCAAGTAGGGGAACGAGGACTCAAGCTTTCAGGTGATCAGTGATTTTAGACCTGCCTCCCACTTGTATACTCCTTTCAAACTTATTTATCAGAACCACTTATATGCTACATCTCTACATTTATTCTTTGTTCTAATTTAGCTTATGGAGGAAATGTATAGATTAGGGGCAAAGCAAGGCAGAAATAAAGAATCTCTTACATGAATCTTAGTGAATTCCCATTCCTCTTCATTACAAACCAACTTCATTTAGTAGGTGCATACTATGTGAAAGTTACTATGCTGAATGATTTGAGGGTTAAAAATATGAAAAACAAACAAGTCTGTTGTCATGGAGTTAGCAATCTATTGGAAAGTTTTAATGTAGGTTTAGAAAATTTTAAGAGAAGCTTATTTTCAAGTGAAATTAGATTGTGGTAATTTGGTCATAACTTGGTAGTATAATATGCTTTTATCATTCTAATTCACCTTTATACTTAGCCATTGCTCTTAATCAAGTTGTTTTCAATTAACTAGCCCATCCTCAAGTATGGGTCCATTTATCAAATTGTAATGATCCCCAATTTACCATGTAATATAGATTAGCCTTCTCAGTACTTGATTTTGCCTCAGCCAGCTATGCCACATTCTGTTTTCTAATATTTTTTGCCCTCTACATGCCTTTGGAGGTAGCAATAGCTAAAGAAAACTTATTCTTACTTATTTTATATTGCCTTAAACCAAACTCCTTAAAATGAGCAATGTATTGCTTAATATCTAGCTTTTCTTCTCCTAGTTTTAAAATACTATTGAATAGAATTAAAACTAAGTTGATTTTCTTGAAATTTGAAAGGCATGTCAAAACTAATTCTTCTTAGAAACTACTTCTTTGAGGAGCTTTCTGCTACTGAATTGATAGGTGGGCAGGTAGATAATTCTGGTATGGAACCTGCTTTGATAGGAGAATTTTGATCTTATGAAATAGGGATAGCATGAATATAAATTTAACCAATATTAGACATAAGGAGATCAAATATAATAATCATTGAAAAAGTAAAAAATAAAATAATACTTAATGGACCAGATAATCGACCAGGAGAGTTTGTTCCTAATGTTACTAAAGTGGAAAAATGCAAGTATTTTTCAGACTGTTAATTTAATATGTAATGGAAAAGAAAAGCCAAAATAAAGCTCTATGTTTTCTACTTCCAACTGTATTTTTTAAAAATATATATATGTATACATATTTTTAGTTGAAGTTGGACACAATACCTTTATTTTATTTATTTTTATATGGTCCTGAGGATCGAACCTAGCACCTCGCACATGCTAGATGAGTGCTCTACCACTGAGCCACAACCCCAGCCGCCCCCAACTGTATTTTTATATAACAGTAATGACTTTAGACCTAGAGGAGTCCCAGTGATCGAAGAAAGGTTTTTTTTTTTTTAATATTTCACTAAATATGTTCACTACTTAAGACAAATATTTTCTAAATATTTATTTCTGTGAATAAATGTGGGCTTCTATATTGTGATAAGAGGAATATTGGACTGGGAATCAAATCAGGTCTAGTCTAGATTCGCTAAAACTTGCTTTGTGACCTTGAACAAATCACATAATCTTTTGGGCTTTTGTTTCCTTTTAGTTTTAAAAAATATGTTATGCTAGATACCTATAACTAATAACTAAGTGGAAATAAGAGATATATAGTATATACCCTTAATTTTGAAGAATAAATAGCATTCTATCAAAAACATCCTTGAGAATACTGGCTGAATGGAACTTGTTTATGTCAAGGCATCAATTTATATTCATAGTTTCATGTTTTCAAGTTTTCAGGTTTTTTTGAGGGGGCAGTGTACTGGGGATTGAACTCAGGGGCACTTGACCAGTGAGCCACATCCCCATCCCTATGTTGTATTTTATTTAGAGACAGGGTCTCACTGAGTTGCTTAGTGCCTCGCTGTGGCTGAGGCTGGCTTTGAACTTACAATTCTCCTGCCTCAGCCTCCCGAGCCACTGGGATCAGGTGTGCACCACCATGCCTGACTAAGTTTTCAGATCCAATTTGTGTTTGGCTTTGTTGGTTCTCTAATATTGAATTTTTTTCTTTCTGAGATTGGTATTCATTGAGAAGTATTTATATTATAAACAACATATAATGAGCATGTTTTTGGTGAGAAGAACAATTACAGAATTCAAGTTGTTAGGCTCCCTACTCATTCTCGCTCTTATGCCTGCTACATAGTCAAATTTCAGTATTTATGTTCAAGGAAATATAGTTTGGTAAAGGATATCATACATATTATATCATACACAATAAGATGAAAAATAATCAGGAGCATAGTTGAATTTTGATGATATTATTTGATGGTCATAACCAATAGGAATACTAGCAACATAAAATATTTCTGTGCTTTCTTAAATTAAAATTTTTCTTCATCAGGAGGAGAAAAGCAAAGAGTAGCAATTGCAAGAGCCATTTTGAAGGACCCCCCAATCATTGTCTATGATGAAGCCACTTCATCATTAGACTCAATTACTGAAGAGGTAAATGATAATGAAAATATATAGCTCTTTAATGTTTAACATTTTTCCTTATAAGTTTTAACAGAATGACTGCATTTCTTTGTAGTTTAAATGATCTTCAAGTAGAGGTACCATAAAGCAAAATGCCTAGCCCTTTCCCCCATGTAGGAGGTGTTGATGGTTAGAATGCCATTTCACATCAAACTAGCTATCACATTAAGTTTATTTGCAAACATGTCTCATTTTGGAATTATGTGACACCTTATAATGATGTTGTATTACCCCTGCACCTTGCAAAGTTGTACAAATTGCCTAATGTGCTGAACAGAAGAGGATTTTTGTTTCTCTCCTACTGCCACTTAGTACTTATTAATGTAAGTCATGTAAGTGATTGTGACACTTGTGATACAGTGCTCACCAGAAAGCCTTTCAATTCTTATAGATCAACTCATTGAGGTGCAAGTCAGGTACACACAACCTTCAGCACTGGTATCAATTTATACTCATTTCACAGGAAATATTTTAAACACCAAGATATTGTGGCACTGATGTTACGATACTACCCCAGCAACTACATTACACTTTGTAAAATCTTTATATTACACACTTAAGTCTCAACAGCAATGATAATTTCATTAACAAATCCCCTTAATCTAGAACTGAAGATAGGCAGATTTTGTCAGTTGCCTCCATCAACAGTGGTTGATGCAGATGAAATCATTATCATCTACCTTCTAATTTAGTACTTAGTATTAACCTAGTGTTGAAGGATAGCTCTACTTTCAGATTTATAGGCTGTATGATGCAATATTTGCTTAGGGAGTTACATTTTAGGACACATTATTAAATAAGCAGCATGTTTAAAGCAATTTAATTCTGAAGTGAACTGGTTAGCATGGGGATTTATATTTTTGTTGTTGTTCTTGTTGTTTTTTGTCTATATAGTGCTAGTGATTGAACCCAGGGCTTCACATACGTTAGGCAAGTACTGTACCACACAGCTACATCCCTGGCCCTTTTAACTTTAAGACAGAGTTCCACTAAATTGCCTAAGATGACCTCAAACTTGTGATCCCTTCTGCCTCACCTCCAAAATAGATGGGACTACAGTTATGCACTACTGCACCCAGCTGATTTGTTATATTTAAAGTGAACCTTAACTTGGACCAAATCCCATTTATTTGAGTAGGAACCTGCTTATGAGAACTTTACACTGAAAAATGGGTCATACTACCACAAATTAAAAGTGTCTTTATGGGAATCACTTAGTTTTATTATGTCATAGAATATAACCCTTTAAGAGTTTGCAGAGAACCCCCCGCAAAGGGAAAGAGTTACCAGAAGATTGGGAAATTTGAATAAGCCTTTATAAAAGGTCCAGAGCACTCTATAGGATGTCAGAGTTTAAATTCTTAAGGATAAAAATTGCAGTTTTTCTTAGTATTGGCCCTGTACTTGATTTTTGGTCTGCCTTAGTAAAATACAGGTCTTCTTTTTTGTGTAGCCATCTGCTGTCAATAATTTTATACCTTTAATAAAGAAAATGTTTAGAAGTAGCTGTAGGAAACCAGTGGCACATCCCCACCAGCTACACTGCTATTTCCATCTGGCCAGCTGTACTTAGACCCAGGTTTCCAATTTTACAGTCAACAAACAAAAATGTATTTTTCAGACTGCATTAAGATTTCCTCAAGTTAAAAATACACGGATGTCTTTATCTCCCCTTCTGTCCTCTGAGTTTCAACTAAGGAAGAACTAATATTCCTGTACTCTTCAAGTCTCCCTGTCTTTCCCTGGTTGATTTAAAATTTTGATGTGTCCTATCATTTGAGAGCCTCCTCATTTTAGTTTTGTTCTTGTTGACAAACATATTTGGCTATGCTCCTGATGTCACTGGAGTTGCTGATTGTTTGTTTAGTTTTTAAGTGAAGGAAATATCTACCTTTCCCCAGACTTTGTGTTTTACAGAAATGTCACCTATCTTAATAATTTTTCCCATTACTATGTAGTTGTATTTACTTTTCCTTTCTGCTTGATTTTCTCTTCCTCTTTTAAAATTAGAGGTCAGTTATTTGGTTCTGGTATAAAACTTGCATCATAAAATATTAATTGACATTTTATATGTTCCATTAAGAGATATATGATTATTTTCATTTACAGTTACCTAATGGGTTGATTTTTTTCCATCTGACTCTTCTTGTCAAACTTGCAGACTATTCTTGGTGCCATGAGGGATGTGGTCAGACATAGAACTTCTGTTTTCATTGCACATAGATTGTCAACAGTGGTTGATGCAGATGAAATCATTGTTTTGGACCAGGTAAGAGATTAAATGTTAGTATTCAAAGAGCATTGGGGATTGTTATTGATATAAGAAACAAATATTGTTTCTAATAATATATAGAGAGTTTATGTTCTTTGGATGAGATTGAATACCCATGGGGTTCTGATTTTAGCCTCTTTTGTAGGAAAGAATGCATGTCATTTCCAAGAAGGAGTAAACTCTATTAACTCTCTCTTTGTTAAAGCACTAAAAGCAAAAATTTGATAAAGAAAGCATTAAATCTTCAGATAGAAGCAGGTTTTCAAGGGTGTATATGTAAAAGAATTTTTCTTTTTTTTTAAACATCCCATTTTCTTTTTTTAAAAAACCATTGTTTTTTTAAAAATATCTTTATTTTATTTTATTTTTTATGTGGTGTTGAGGATCGAACCGAGCACCCCGCGCATGCCAGGCGAGCACACTACTGCTTGAGCCACATCCCCAGCCCCATAAATGAATTTTTCTACATTAGTTTTTGCTCCGAGTAGAAGCTTTGCTCTATGCCTTTGCTATGATATGTATTTTAATTTTTCTAGCACAGCTCGTACCCTTGATGTCTAAAAGATAATAAAGTAAACTGGTGATTTTCAAACATGATCATTTTTATTTTGTTTTTTCTTATGGAGAAGATAAGAAAATAGGCAGCTTTATCTCCTTTGAAGGAATTACTTACTATACAAGTGTCCTGAACAAATCAGAGTATCACTAGTGTGATTGATAAATTTTAAAATTTGTAATATTTTCTTTTTCTCCTTTCTGTAAGGACCTCTTCTCCCCAACTCTTAGTACTTGATTGTGTCTAACATTGTTCAGTTTTCCATATCATATTCAGCCTTTTCTATGATTATTTTTCCCTTCTAGTAACTTCTAGGAAATTAAAATTTTGAAAGCCTATTCACTGAGAGTTAACAGAGAAAAAAAGTATTATGTGCTTTCTGCATATTGAGTTATTGGAAGGTAATTTTTCAGTCCCCTAAAACTTTTTATATGGTGCTGAGTGCTGTGGTGTATATACTATTTATTTTCTATGTGAATTTTATACTTGTGACTTTAGGCCTTTCTGTTACTTAGTTTATAAATGTTTATATTCATTAGAAAATAAACTGATTTTTCTAGTATTATTATACCAGAATGTCTTAAATGGAAAATATTTAAATATACCATCTCATATCATTGGCATTCAAGAATCTGAAATATAATCTGGTGATTTTTTTAAACTGGGGAATGATATTGACCAAATTATTTTTTGAAATCTGGGTTTTGTGCTTATTAGTAAGCTTTCCAGTTATAGGCAGTCATATAGTTAGAGCCTCCCCTTACAAATAGAAAATGATCAAGTACTTTAACAGTCATGGACTTGTCTATCTCATGCCATGAGGATCACAGTGTGTATTCATTTATATCATAATGTTGCCAGTGGGTTTTAGATTATAATTGGAACTAATTTATTAATGAACATAGCACCTAGATCTAAAATCTCCTTATGTTGATAATTTGATGGTTCTACAGTTGCTTGATTATAAAGATAACAGATTTTCATTTTCTAGTGAAACTAATGTGACCTTTATTTCAGTTGGTTGTTGGTCAACTCATGTGTTCTGTCAGTAGTCTCTTAGAATATGTGTGTTAAGATGGCATATCTAAGGGATATTTAGTTAAACATAGAAGATTAGACATATTTGTTTATCTCTTCTCTCTCCAATCATACTAAAACAAACATAAAGGAGTAAAATAAGTATAAACCCACAAGCACAAATATACTAAGAGAGGAAATTATAGTGAACAAAAGACATCAGCAAATGTGGGGAAGATGTTAAGTAGATAGAGAGATTAGCACAGTTGATATATTTGAATATTATGTGCCAAAATGGAGAGGAAATCAATAAAAAGCAACTTGGTATATGTTGTAGACCCCTGAAAACATTCAGTAATTGGAGCCACCCAGGTATTGTGCAAAGGCATAAGATTGATATAACAAAATTAAATGTATATAGAATAAATAGTGTTTCCAGGGCTCTTCCTCACCCCACCCCGCAGCCTGGTGTTTAATCCTTCCCAACCTAAGCAAGGAGCAGGAAAGTTTCTTATCAGGACATCTCTAGATACAAGAAAACCACCAAATACATTAGCAATGAAGGTAAAATTAACTGGAAATTAAAACATACCACAGGATCAAACCATATCCCTCATATCACTTGCTCCAGGAATTTTGCCACAGTTGTTTATTTCTGCCATCACTGTTCCTTTCCTCATCAGCAGATAATTGGAGTATTCTGAATAAACAAAGGTAGCCCCGGAAATAAAAGATGTACATTTGGGGACCCCAACAAAATGGGCTAGTTGCCCATCCTGATCAGCTCTTAATGCTCTATTATTAAATATCAGTGGATAATAAAGGAAGACCTCTAAAACAAACAGAAAAAAGGAACACAGTAGAAAATGTAAACAGCACAGAGAGTGTAAGAAACTTTAAAATATAATATCTCTAGAGGTCATGGAAAATATAGCATTTCTAAAATAAGAGCAAATGCTGTTAAGAAAAGTAAAGGAAACTTATGTGGCATGATTTCTAAGGTAGATTGTTAAAAGGGAAAAAAAGTAGGCTTCAAAAGAGTACATAGTATATAGTATGACACCTTTTGCAAGGAGGATGAAGTAAAAAGAATATATGTATATGTGCTTATATTTGGAAAAAGAAACTCAGAAGGAAGCAATTGGCTACATACAGGATGGGAACGGAAAAGGGTGATAACAGATAGGGAAGAGAATGTGACTTAGGAGTATACTTTTTTATATTGGTTTTACTTTTGAACCGTATTGGTATTTTTGTTTATTCAAAAATAAAATTAAATCAACAAGGATGGGGGGAAATTGAATATAAGCAGAAAGCAGCAAAACTACGTATAAAATTGATAACCACATAGAATACAAATAGAATTAGGGCTAGGATTGTGGCTCAGTGGTAGAGTGCTTGCCTAGCACATGTGAGGCACTGAGTTGGATCCTCAACACCACATAAGAAAGAAAAGAAAGATAAATACTGTGTCATGTATACTAAAGTATTTTAAAAATAGAATTAATCCAAATGACTTTACAGCATATTACTCCAATTAAATATACTCTCAGTGGAGTATATTATAAGTATAAAAAGAACTAAAGAAAATTTATTCTTTATTAAATTTGTTGTTGGTTAGTATTATGAGGATAGGAGCCATTTGGAAACTATTTTTTATCTGAGACTGAGCATATGAGTATATGTGTTGATGGTGTTAGGAATAGATATCTCACTTTGAATAATAAAGATACAAATATGCAATGGTCAAAAAAAAGAAGACTCTCATAATGTTATATTGGAGTGGAATTATCAGTGTGAATTTATGATATTTAAACAATATTCAGATTTTTGTGGAAAAGGCCTAGAAGCAATGAAAACCTAGTAGCGATGAGTGTTACTGGCACACAGATTTTGGCCACTTAATACTGCATCTCATTAAAAGGAACCAAGATTCCTTGGAGAAATAGTTGATTACAAGTGGGGGTGGGGAAATTAGTGAAAACACAAGGACACAGGAACCATTTTGAATGGGCCAAATTTGGGATAATTAGAGCATAAAAAAGAATAATGACACTAATGAATTGTAACACACTGAGTAGAAAACTAATCCCTGCATCCGTAATAATACTTCTAAAACAAAAAGTGCCAAGGGGAAAGGGAAAGCTGTTCTTTAAGAATGTCAGCTAACACATGTAAAAGAAATGATAAATGTAGAAAATTTTACAACTACCATTGTAATAATTGATTCACTTAAGGATCATCACTGGTTGCTGAAACATGATGAGAAGCTATTGGGGAACAGAATATTCACAGATTTTGAACATATAACCTATATATAACTTATTAGTTACAAAGAGAAAAAGTACCTTTAAAGAGAGAAATCTCACCAGACTCTGTGGCACACACCTGTAATCCCAGACATTTGAAAGGCTGAATGAAGCAAGGAGGATTGCAAGTTTGAGGCCAGCCTAGGAAGCTTAGTAAGAAGACCTTATCTGGAAATTTTAAAAATTAAAAATAACAAGGGCTAGGGATGTAATTCAGTGGTAGAGCACCCCTGGGTTTAATCCTTGGTGTACTGCAAAAAAAAGACTTTTTAAAATAAAATATTAAAAAGAGCCAGGGGTATGGCTTATTGATAAAGCATCTTGGGACTTCAGTTACCAAGTAGTACAATGAGAGAGGGAAATCTGGTAGACATCCTTAATCAAGTGATCAAATTTAATATCAATAATGGAAAAATTGACCTCATATACCTCCTGATGTGATGCACTGAAGGTACATCATCACATATTTCTTACAAAAATGTTTAGCTTGGATCTTTATTTTTTAGCTTAGATATAATAATTAAGAACAACTAGATAACACAAACTGAAAGGCATTGAAGAAAAAGCAGGACTAAACATTTTAAATATGCCAGTGACTGTTCTCTCCCCGCCCCCCCCCTCTCTCTCTCACACACACACACACACACACACACACACACACACGGAAGCTGTTATGAAGTCAATGTGTTGATCCTGATTTGTTCTTAGAAAAAAAATAAACATTTTGGGGAGAAATTGATGAAGTTTGAATATGAATTTTATATTAGAGTATCATATCATTGCTGAATTTCCTAGGTATGATACAATTATATTCCCATCAGTAAGTAAAATGTCCTTATTTTTAGGAGATACATGCTAATGAAATATTTAGGGGTAAATTATAATGATGTCTACAACTCATTCTCAATTTGGTTTGACAAAAATATATATATATATTTAGAAAGTGTGTAAAGTGAGCTATGTGGTAGTACACACCTATAATCCCAGGCCCTAAGCAACTGTGAGACCTGTCTCAAAATAGAAAATAAAAAGGACTGGGGATTTGACTCAGTGATTAAGCACCCTGGTACCAAAATAAATAAATAAAAACTTGTAATGTGACATAAAGCAAATGTTGAAATAACAGTTGTTAAACTAGGAGAAGCATATATAAATATTCATTGTATAACTTGCAACATTGAAAAAATTTAAAAATAGAGATGGTAAGTAAGTAAATAAATAAATAAATAGATAGATACCCAGAGAACAAGAGCTTTTGGAAATGAGAAATATCATTGTTGAAATAATGCCAAGGATAATTATGAATGTAATATACTCCACTATTGTCATGTAAGAAATAAATAGATAAATAAATAATGCCAAGGAAATATCCAAAGGATAGAGCAAAAATAGTGAAAATAAAAGTGAGAAAAGAAAGAATTAGTCAAAGAGGCCCAACATCTGACTAGTGGTAGTTTTTTAAAAACATTTTGTATCAAGATATAGCATTTCTTCTCCATAATTAAAATTAAAAAGATATAAAAATTAGTATCCAAAAATTAAATAAGAGGCTTATTGAATATACTATGTTTATACGCCATATTAAATTAAGGAGAAAATTTTAAAAAATCTAGCATCTCCAAAACATACTTTTTAAAAATGTAGTTAAAGGAAACCATTTTAATATATCACTATATTTCTTTCCCAATGAATGTTTTATGTGTATATTCATATACATGTTTTCCCATATTCTTTTTTATTGGTTCTTTTTAGTTATATATGACAGTAGACTCTATTTTGATATAATTATATAAACATGGAATATATCTTATTCTAATTAGGACCTCATTCTATAATGGTGGATTCACTGTGGTGTGTTCATATATGTACATAGGAAAATTAGGTCAGATTTAATCCACTGACTAGTGATAGTTCTAAAATGAGAGAATAAGAAAATTATCAAAGAAATAATACTCAAAGAATGTCCAGAAGTTCAGAGCAAGAGTTTCCAGATTGAAAGTTCCTACCAAGCATCCACTACAATGAATGAGAAGCAAAGAAAAACCCATACCATGGTGCTTTATAAAACTCCAGAATTGAGGCTACAGAAAATAATCTAAAAGCTCTGAGTGGTAGAAGAAATTGAACTAATACATTGCCTCATATAGTTGATTATGAGGAAAATAATGATCAAAAGGGTTTTATAATTCAATAACAAACTTTGGAGAGATTTCCAATAGTTACCAAAAATTAAGCAAATGGAAAAATAAAGCAGTCACCAAGTCTAGGAAGAAAAAAAAACATGCAAAAATACCTACTTGGTGCAACAGGAGATATTTACATAGTCATAATAAAGTAAGCACTAAACTAAAATTTGAAATATTGCTGATGTTATTTGAAGAGTGAAAAATGGGACATTGGGAATGTGGGAAAATATAAGAGTGATGAATCTCCATCTTCCACAACACTCACACTCTCTCTCTCCCTCCCTCCCTCCCTCTCTCTCTCTCTCCCTCCCTCTCTCTGTCTCTCTCTCTCTCTCTCTCTCACACACACACACACACACACACACACGCTCACGGACGTACGTAAATACAGAACTCAGACTTGAGCACAGACAAATTTTAGTTATTTTGCTTAGGGGTGTATTTGTAAAGGTCCTATTACCAGGAGTACCAGTAAAAGTGACAAAGTTCCTTTTGTCTCCCAAAACGTTTAACAGACAAATTAATTGAAGATCAGAGTTTGGAATCTATATCAAATATATGCAATGCTAAGTTTAATAGCCATTGTTAACAAAAAAAATAGCCACTGGAAAAAGTAAAACTTTATTTTTATGAATTTTTTTCTATTACATGAAATCTTTATTTCAAGTTACACATAAGGCTTTTAGAATATTAATTTTAGATCCTTGTATAAATAACAGTGGTTTGGGTTTGAATATTTACTGATTATAGAAAATATTACCTTCTTAAATTTTTAGACTTCCCTTTCTGCCCTGAAAAATAAAACATTAAACACTTATAGTATTGGGAGTTTCATGATGTATTGTTTATTCACTGGAACTGATAGGTCAACACTGAAGATAGCATTCTTACCTCAATTTCTCCTACTTATTCTATAAATGAGGAAGTAGGAGAAGTATTCTAATGAATGCAAGTCCTTCAAATCTTTCATTACAAATTATCATATACTTTTAGGGTTTTTTTGCTAGTTTGATGACCTTTTTCTGTGTTTCTCTTGTGTTTGCTTATTAGGGAAAGGTAGCTGAACGTGGTACCCATTATGGCTTGCTTGCTAACTCTGGCAGTATTTACTCAGAAATGTGGCATACTCAGAGCAGCCGTGTGCAGAACCATGATAACCTCAAATGGGGTGCAAAGAAAGAAAACATGTCCAAAGAGGAGGAAAGGAAGAAACTACAAGAAGAAATTGTCAACAGTGTCAAAGGCTGTGGAAACTGTTCCTGCTAAGTCACATGAGACTTTTTCTTTTCTTTCATTTTGTTTTGCTTTGTTTTGGACTACACTTCAAGTACAATTCTGCCCTGAAAGCAGAAATGTTTAAATTAAAACAAAAGTCATACATTCCCATTTTCTATAATTATTCTTTTAGATAAGATTTGTTGAAAGGGGGATTTGAGTTACATCTTTCCCAGTCTATTTTGTGCTATCTGTATTTAACCATGAATTATTTTCTTGTTACTGCCCTGGTTATAGTCATCACACAATTTTTGTTACTTTGGCTTTACCCCATTACCCTTTTGAGACCCAGTATGCATTTAACATCCATAACCAGATGAATCGGATAAGTTTCCAAACTTTTGTAGTTTTTCAAGGCTCCTTTATGCTGACAATTTGACAAAAGACAACTTAGTGTCTTTTTCTCAAAATTAAACAGACTATAATATGAATTTATTGTTCTTCCTCATTTTCCCTCCAATTAAAATACTTCATTAATGTGAAAATTGGATCTTAAACATAAAGTAAGAGCTTTTCAGAAATAGACATGCATTTATGGTTTAAATGTCTTACCTGATAGATAACTATACTTACCTGTTTTAAGTATTTCCAGCTATGTACTTTTTGGAAGAAAACCTTAATATACATGCATATACATGACCTTTGGTATGTAGGAAAGGATTCCTATAGATGCATGTGTGCGCACATGATGACAAATATTCATTAGATGACCATCATTCTTATCTGTGTTGACATTTCAGAATTACTTTATCATAGGTATTATTTTACTTTTTTAGTAATTTAATGAGTTCCTTTAAGTCTGACATGACAGTTAACCCAAACACTAAATCAATTTTTAACTGGGGGTAGGGGGAACATGTTTTTCTTACTAGAAATAATTATTAAAATAATTATATGTTTCACATAGAAAGTTCCTCTCTTAAGCTGGGCATGGTGGTACACACCTATAGTACTAGCTACTTGGGAAGCTGAGGTAGTAAGATTACTTGTGCCCAGAAGTTCAAGGTCAGCCTAGACAACATAGCAAGACCCTATCTCTTACAATTAATAAAGAAAAGAAAGTTCTCTCTTCTTCAGTATGAATTTGCTTTAATTTGTTTGATAGCAATTATTCAGTTTGAAAAACTGTTTCTCATGAATGGCTACATAACCATGTATAATAAGGTTTTATTTCTCAGGAAAGTACTTATTTTATTGGTTTATAGTTCTGATGTGTTTTAAGTGATAATTTAGTATGAGAGTGATTATTATTTCTTCTTTTATACTGTGGATACTATGGATAAATGTAAACTTATCTACTTTAGGCTATTTGATAAGGAACCTGAGGCCAGTATTTCATAGTCAGTTTTTGATACCAGAGTAAGTGATGCAGGATCTTGGGTTTTAAAGTTGAAATGAACACTGAGTTGTGTAATCAGTAGATTGGCTTTCTGTGGGTTTTTTTTTTTTTTTTTTGGACATTTTTTTACTCTGAAGCCAAATAGCAATAGCTATTCTGAAAGTAAAAGAAGCCCTTCCTTTGAATAAATCAGCTACATTACTGGAAATGTGGTTTAGAAATCTAGAGAGAAATTTTTCATCTCTGTTAATTCTTTCTATACATTTCCAGTGATGCTGGTGGAAAAGATTTAGTGTAGTTGCATAAACAAGCAGGTAAGATTGAAGTAATCATTAGTAATAATTCCTTTCGAAGTGTGAATAGCAGTGTCCAGAGCAAATTATTTTGTGATATGGGGATGATTTAGTCCAAGAGGGTAGGAATATTTTCAGGGTGGAGATAATTTCCCCACTAAAAGATTGCTAAGCTATTTTCTTTTCATATGATTGCAGGTGGTCCCTAGGCCACTGTGGTCATTAACCAGTATTTTCAGTTAATAAAAACTTAAATTACCTGGAAAACACAATTATTATAGAGGCCATAACTAAGTCTTAAAGACATTTCTCTTAAAACCACATTATATTAAGGTTGTTCTATACAGGGAAATAATAGACAGATTAAGATGAAAGAAAAGCTTCCTAGGATGATTCACTCAGAAAATACCAAGAAAAAGGGTATTTAATTATAATGTACTAATTTTACATTGCAATATTACATACTTACACAAAAGGATAATGTGGATAAATTTTTAAATCAGCATTGCAACAATGCTTTTTTAATGTGTTGGGATGAATAAGCTGCAGTTTTGAAGTTTGAGCTCTGAAAAAGGAATAAGGTGATAGGGCTTTATTTCTTATATCCCTTTATTTTAAAGACTGAAAATTTTACATTCTGAGGGAATCCCAATTTACAGAAATTAACTTGAAACCAAGGTAATTTGGGATCATAAAAACTGGGCCAGATGCTTTACTGAAGGTTCTTAACATGGAAATATCTTGGTGAGCATATGGACTCATTTGGAAGTTTTTTGAACAGCTCAAGTGTAAGGGTCATTTGTCAGAATCAGAAAGAGGCCTTAGCTTTTGGACATGAACAAGCCCAAGATATGCGTTTACTGTTCTTCTGCAGGGATTTGCACCTTTTCTATACCTTAAGATGAATACTTTGTGTTTCCCTTCGATGTTGATAAAACTTGGTTTGTGAAGATGGCTATTGTAAGAATATGTTTTGCTTTAAAGGCAAGATATTTAAAGATTGTATGATTCCCTATTTCTAGATCACTTTGTCCATACTGCCATCTTGCTCCTCTCCTTCTTGCTGAATATGTCAGCACTTTTGTCAATATGTATTCATATTTCTCTTACCTTGCAGCTTTATTACAGACTATTTTGTTGTGAACTAGTAATTGAAAGCATTTAAATGTATTTGCAGTTGCAGTTTTCTTAAATTATAGAAAGTTTCTTCTTTGAGTATATAGATTCTGAATGTAAAATGTATAATACATCACAATATTAAATCAAATAAGCTGGTTAAAACTGGTTAAGACAAAACAACTCAACCAAGGAAACCCTTACCACAGTTTTATTGTTTATATCAACATGTGTAGAAAATCATTACTAAATAAACATTGTCTTTGTGACTAGAAATGGGTGATTGAAGCAACTCTTTTCTGCAATAACTAGGGAAAATTGATATTTTGTCATTTGCACACTCAAAATAAATACAGATAATTAATAGATACTCTGTGAGTATAGCCTTATAGCCTTATGCAGAAAGTGAAAATTTGGCATTGTTTCAGAGAGAAAGTAATTGTTTGCAGAGCTCATAATGGGGGTAAAATGGTAGCAAATTATAGTGATTTCATTAAGCATTAAGCTGTCATATTTTTGATGACTAATCAGTGAAAGGCCCCTGCTTTCTCAGTTGCCTCCAGTTTATCAATTCTGATGATTAGGAAGGAAACCTTTGGGTGGAGAAATGTGTTGTCTGCAAACTGTGCATTAAACCAGCATTTTGATTAGCAAGGTAGAGTTGGAAATGAAGTATGTGTTCGAATTTAAAACAGATTAGAACGTTTTTGGTTAAAAAATAGTGTATTGTTTCAGTATTTCCTGTTCTCACACAGCTACAGTGGAATGTTTACCAATGATGACTTATTCCACTTCTACTTCATAAAATCATAGGATTTTAGACTTGGAAGAAATTAAAGGGTCATTTAATTCAGGGCTCTCATTCTACACATGAGGAACTTGAACTTCAAGAGGAGACACTGAGCTTGCTAGAGGCCAAGTTTGGATAAAAGCCTTGATTCCTGATACCCAGTTTGTTCCTTCTTATGCTGTATCACCTTTCTACTCACAAGTTTTATTAAAGAATAATCGAAGGGCAGGATTTCCAGAGTGAAGTAAAGAGCTCAGTAGGCACTCAACAAAGCAACAATTTAACTGACAAAAAATTATTTTAGAAAAAGCAGTCATTTAAAAGCTTCTAAAAATTGTCCTCAGGGCATACAAGAAGTGCCCTTAGATATTCATTCATTCAACACAATCCATTAAGAACAACTTGAGGACTGATCTGCTCCATGTCCTCCATGTCACTAGGCCCGTGTTACCTGAGTACATTGCTTTGGAAACTCTACCTCAATTCTGAGCAGGTAAAGATATAAAAATAATAGAGTGACTATTACTCCCTCTTCCCCCAGCTCCCAGTCTAAGGCTACATTTTTACCCTGGCAGGGGTATCTGCCACGCTGTCCCTTCCTCCTTAGGTTGTACCTTAGTCTGTTTCTTGTTGCTATAACAAAATACATGAGACTGAGTATAAAGAATAGAAGTTTATTTGGCTTACCATCATCTGGTAAACACCTGTTGGCTACATAACATTTTGGAGGGCATCATATGAGGAGACAGAACAAGCATGTTAGCTCAGTTCTCTTTTCCTCATCTTATAAAGTCACTGATACCGTCATGGGAGCCCCACTCTCATGAGTTCATCTCCATTTACCTCCCAGTCTCTAAATACCATTTAACATATGAGTTTGGGATTGCATTTCTAACATATAATCTTGGAAGGCACATTCAAACCATAGCAGAGTGGAATCTCTATTCCATGCACAGGCTGACAGTAATGAGGTCTTAATTTTTTTCTTCCCCAGCTTGCTCATAGGTTGGAGGTTTCATTCAAAAAGAGGGAACTGGTAAATACTAGCTACTTCCATCCCACATCATTGACCCATAGTACAGTAGTTGTTTCACTCCAGAAAAAGTTGGTCTTGACTTCAGCTGCTATTCAGTGGTGCAGAGGCTCCACCCAAGAGGAAAAGCATGAGGTAAGGGCACAAAACTCCTTGGCTCTGCCTGGGAGAACTGACTTCATTTGGAACAGAGCATGAAGAACTCTTATCTCTTAAGGGCATTGTTAAAATCAATGGGGATCTTGGTTAAAAGCAATAGGAGTAGCTAGTACAAACAAAATGCAGAGCAGGCAAAAGTTTAATAGAAATTTAAAAGGGGACCAAAAAAAAGCCCTCATGGAGCAGTTAACTGTAGGGATTGAAAAGCCTATGTGTATGTGCTGGGCTGTATCCACTCAGGATAATCAGAGCATAATGTGGGACAGACTTGAAAGAATTTCCCCATACATGCAGACCCATTGACATGGCAGCAGTTTCACTGGCAAAAGGAGCTTAAGCACAACTTTGACCAAACACTGAGTGAACAATTAAGTTATGGTTACCTGAAGGTGACTTCTAGGAACTTAAAAATAAAATTGCATGCATCTTTGTCAATCTGGAATACTTACTTTCTAATGTTGTTCTCTCTCAGAACAAATCAGTGAAGGAAACCCTAAGCTACCAGTCCCTGGTAAACATGAGTCAAAAGTAAACTCCTTGAACTATTGATTTTACCCTCTAAGTACATAGACATCCAATGATAGAAGGTAAGACTCTTACTGGCCATAAGTGCCTATACCAACCCAGTGACAACCCCTAGATAGATGAACTAAAAAGACAAAGATAACATCACACTACATAGTACCAAGGAAATATGCTAGTAAATTACGAATCTCCCAGCAGAAGAGGATCAGTATCCAAAATTGCAATGTCCAGTTTAGAACAAAAAAAATCACAAGGCATACAAGAAAACAGGAAAGTGATCCAAACACAGGAAGAAAAGCAAGCAATAAACATTACCTTTGTAGGGCCCGAAATGATGTATGTAGGAAACAAAAGTTTTTCAACAAAGTACATACATCTCCATCCATCCAAAAGGAAATTCTGGAGTTGGAAGTACAATAACTGAAATAGAAAATTGACCACATGTGCTCAATAGTACATTTAAGCTGACAGGAAAAAATCTGTGAATTTACACAAAGATCAGTATAAATTATGCAGTCTGAAAGACATTTAAAAAATAAAAACAAATGACCTCAGAGAAATATGGGACACAATTAAGCATATGAACATAGGCATTGTTGGAGTACCAGGCAGAGGGTAAAGCACAGGGGAAAAAATTCCAGAGATGATTGACAACAAATTTATTGAAAAAATATTAATTGACACATTTAAGGAGCTCAACGAACACCAACTAGGACATAGATCCACACTCAGACATGTCATACTCAAATGTTGCAAGCTAAAGTCAAGGAAAAAAATCTTGAAAGCAGTAAAAGTGGTTCATCACACAAGGAAACTTTAATATAGTTAACAGGTGAAAGTTTTCATCAGAAACAATGAAGGCCAGAAAATAGAGTAATGGCATCTTCAAATTGCTGAAATAGTCAAACAATATTATTATATTCAGCAAAACTGTCATTTAAAAATTAAGATGAAATAAAAAGCATTCACAGACAACAGTAAAATGTATTGCCAATAACTTGCAATAAATACAAAGGAAATTCTTAAAGGCATAAAAATAGGAAAAGAAGAACTTAAATTATCACTATTTGCGGATGATATGATACTATATCTAACAGACCCAAAAGGTCTACAAAGAAACTACTAGAGCTAATAAATGAATTCAGCAAAGTGGCAGGGTATAAAATCAACACACATAAATCAAAGGCATTCCTGTATATCAGCGACAAATCTTCTGAAATGGAAATGAGGACAACCACCCCATTCACAATATCCTCAAAAAAAATAAAATACTTGGGAATCAACCTAACAAAAGAGGTGAAAGATTTATACAATGAAAACTACAGAACCCTAAAGAGAGAAATAGAAGATCTTAGAAGATGGAAAAATATACCCTGTTCATGGATAGGCAGAACTAACATCATCAAAATGGCGATATTACCAAAAGTTCTCTATAGGTTTAATGCAATGCCAATCAAAATCCCAATGGCATTTCTTGTAGAAATAGATAAAGCAATCATGAAATTCATATGGAAAAACAAAAGACCCAGAATAGCAAAAGCAATTCTAAGCAGGAAGTGTGAATCAGGTGGTATAGCGATACCAGATTTCAAACTGTACTACAGAGCAATAGTAACAAAAACAGCATGGTACTGGTACCAAAACAGGTGGGTGGACCAATGGTACAGAATAGAGGACACAGAGACCAATCCACAAAATTACAACTTTCTTATATTTGATAAAGGGGCTAAAAGCATGCAATGGAGGAAGGATAGCATCTTCAACAAATGGTGCTGGGAAAACTGGAAATCCATATGCAACAGAATGAAGCTGAACCCCTTTCTCTCGCCATGCACAAAAGTTAACTCAAAATGGATCAAAGAGCTTGATATCAAATCAGAGACTCTGCATCTGATAGAAGAAAAAGTTGGCTCCGATCTACATATTGTGGGGTCGGGCTCCAAATTCCTTAATAGGACACGCATAGCCCAAGAGTTAATAACAAGAATCAAAAAATGGGACTTACTTAAACTAAAAAGTTTTTTCTCAGCAAGAGAAACAATAAGAGAGGTAAATAGGGAGCCTACATCATGGGAACAAATTTTTACACTTCAGATAGAGCCCTAATATCCAGAGTATACAAAGAACTCAAAAAATTAAACAATAAGAAAACAAATAACCCAATCAACAAATGGGCCAAGGACCTGAACAGACACTTCTCAGAGGAGGATATACAATCAATCAACAAGTACATGAAAAAATGCTCATCATCTCTAGCAGTCAGAGAAATGCAAATCAAAACCACCCTAAGATACCATCCCACTCCAGTAAGATTGGCAGCCATTATGAAGTCAAACAATAACAAGTGCTGGCGAGGATGTGGGGAAAAGGGTACACTTGTACATTGCTGGTGGGACTGCAAATTGGTGCAGCCAATTTGGAAAGCAGTATGGGGATTCCTGGGAAAGCTGGGAATGGAACCACCATTTGACCCAGCTATTGCCCTTCTCGGACTATTCCCTGAAGACCTTAAAATAGCGTACTATAGGGATACTGCCACATCAATGTTCGTAGCAGCACAATTCACAATAGCTAGACTGTGGAACCAACCTAGATGCCCCTCAATAGATGAATGGATAAAAAAAATGTGGCATTTATACACAATGGAGTTATTACACAGCACTGAAAAATGACAAAATCATGGAATTTGCAGAGAAATGGATGGCATTAGAGCAGATTATGCTAAGTGAAGCTAGCCAACCCCTAAAAAAACAAATGTCAAATGTCTTC